CTTTAGAAATTATAATTATAAAATGAAATGTCTCAATTAAGAGATAAGTTGAAATTATGAGATACAAAGTCATAATTATGAGATGAACAGTCAAAATCCTGAGACTAAAAACTCAAAATTATGAAACAAAAAACAACACATAAAAAGTCAACACTGTGATAAAAAGTCACAGTTGAAAAAATGGACTTTTTCCTCATAATTGCAACTTTTATCTCATAATTATGACTTAGAATCTCATACTTGTCACTTTTTATCTCATAATTATAACTTAGTATACCTCATAATTTTGACTTGATTACATAATTGAAATTTTTATATCTTAATGATGACTGTTTCTCATAATTGCAACTCGTATCTCAAAATTATGACATATATACTCTTCACTTTTATCTCATAATTTGGTAACTTTTTATCTCAATATTATGACAATATTATTGACGTCATATTTTAATTTTTTCATCATAATGATGATAATTGCGATGTTTTATCTCATAATTATGATTTACCAAAGCGTGTTTTTTTTCTTATGTAGTGGAAACTGGCTTCCATAATTATGAGATTAAAAATGTTCTTTAAAAAGGTTGTAAAAGTGAGTTGTAGCAATGTCTTGCGTGAATAAAGCAACAGATCGTTCATTGAAGTACTATTGAAGTCATCAGTAGAGGAATTAAAAATAAATGTGAATGGAGGGAATGAAGGAGAAGCAAGGAATCTGTAGGTGAATGTAGAAGGAATAGCCTCTGTATACATGTATATTATATTTTTATTTTATTTGTGCTAACTCAAAAAGTCAGTAAATGTCAGCAGTGTGTAAGCCAAAGATGAGAAATGCATGCTGTGAAGCATGACTATGGCAAACGTGGAGAGGGTGCAGGGGTTAAATGGTGTAACTGTATAGAAGCACATAGTATTGCACATGAGGGTTATGGAAACAGAAAGAGTGTAGTGTAAGTGTAACAAGAAGGAGCTAAAAGAATAATGTATCATATACAGAAGTAATGAAAGCTGTTGAAATGAGGACCAAATGAAAGGGAAAGGAGACTAAGGTCAGAAACATACTGTACAAAATTATGTAAACATGAATGCTCGACCAATGCACTGCAAGTGGTGGTAACAAACCGCAGTACTCAAGAGATAAAGTTACTTTCAAACATATGCCATGACATGTTGTAGCAAAAAGTTATGCATGAAGTTTGTTTCACTAGGGGAAGTTGTGGCCTAATGGTTAGAGAGTCTGACTGGTAACCCAAAGGTTGCGACTTCGAGTCTCAGGTCTGGCAGGAATTATAGGTGGGGGGAGTGAATGTACAGCGCAATTTCTCTTCCACCTTCAATACCATGGCTGAGGTGATTTCTCTTCCACCTTCAATACCACGACTGAGGTGCCCTTGAGCAAGGCCCTGAACCCCCAACTGCTCCCCGGGCGCTGCAGTATAAATGGCTGCCCACTGCTCCGGGTGTGTGTTCACGTTGTGTGTGCTGTGTGTGTGCACTTAGGATGGGTTAAATGCAGAGCACTAATTCCTAGTATGGGTAACCATACTTGGCCACATGTCACGTCACTTTCACTGCTATGTGTTTACATAGCAGGGGCCTTCAGTCTATGGGCCCCTCGGTGGACAGAGACTGAGCTATGAATGAGCTCAGTTACATATGAAACTGAGTGCTGTAAGCTCGTACATTTTAATTTTATTTAATAAAAATGTTTATTTAATAAATGTTTAGAAATGAGGTTAATAGAGCAATTTCTGGAGCACTTCAGCAGGTGTTGAATGTAGAAGGAATAGCCTCTGTATACATGTATATTATATTTTTATTTTATTTGTGCTAACTCAAAAAGTCAGTAAATGTCAGCAGTGTGCAAGCCAAAGATGAGAAATGCATGCTGTGAAGCATGACTATGGCAAACGTGGAGAGGGTGCAGGGGTTAAATGGTGTAACTGTATAGAAGCACATAGTATTGCACATGAGGGTTATGGAAACAGAAAGAGTGTAGTGTAAGTGTAACAAGAAGGAGCTAAAAGAATAATGTATCATATACAGAAGTAGTGAAAGCTGTTGAAATGAGGACCAAATGAAAGGGAAAGGAGACTAAGGTCAGAAACATACTGTACAAAATTATGTAAACATGAATGCTCGACCAATGCACTGCAAGTGGTGGTAACAAACCGCAGTACTCAAGAGATAAAGTTACTTTCAAACATATGCCATGACATGTTGTAGCAAAAAGTTATGCATGAAGTTTGTTTCACTAGGGGAAGTTGTGGCCTAATGGTTAGAGAGTCTGACTCGTAACCCAAAGGTTGCGACTTCGAGTCTCAGGTCTGGCAGGAATTATAGGTGGGGGGAGTGAATGTACAGCGCAATTTCTCTTCCACCTTCAATACCACGACTGAGGTGCCCTTGAGCAAGGCCCCGAACCCCCAACTGCTCCCCAGGCGCTGCAGTATAAATGGCTGTCCAATGCTCCGGGTGTGTGTTCACGTTGTGTGTGCTGTGTGTGTGCACTTAGGATGGGTTAAATGCAGAGCACTAATTCCTAGTATGGGTAACCATACTTGGCCACATGTCACGTCACTTTCACTGCTATGTGTTTACATAGCAGGGGCCTTCAGTCTATGGGCCCCTCGGTGGACAGAGACTGAGCTATGAATGAGCTCAGTTACATATGAAACTGAGTGCTGTAAGCTCGTACATTTTAATTTTATTTAATAAAAATGTTTATTTAATAAATGTTTAGAAATGAGGTTAATAGAGCAATTTCTGGAGCACTTCAGCAGGTGTCTTCCGTGTGAGGGTGACCGTGGGAAATTCAAATGTCATGTGACTTAAAAACAGCACATCATTGTCTACCTTAAGGCCTGCTCTTTTAATTCCCATAGTACAATAAATTGTATTTTTTCAGAATAAAAAGAAAATGAGTAGAAATTAATTCATAAGAAAGAGTGAAAAATGTAAGGGGGTCTGAATACTTTCCGTACCCACTGTATATATATATATATATAACACATCTTGTCGAGCAGTGAATTCAGGTTAAAATGGAGAGGTAATGATCAGGGAAGGAATGGAGGATAATAGAGGACAGTTCAGTTTTGGATAAGAAACAAACAAGATCATGATTACAGTAAAAGCTGAAAGATTCCTATGTGAAAGAGCGGGGGTTACTGGTGTTGTACTTCAGATATTGGAAGTGGAGAAAATCTATGTTCCCAGAAACTAAGTCTAAGATTAGTTGTGACTCTTGTGAGTGATCTAGAACTTTAATGTACACTGCACCTTACAGGAAGAAGTGAGGATGGATGTAACAATAGATTCAGGATTAGCTGACGTGGATGTAACTTTTCCATGTTGTTCTAACTTAATGGAAAACTATTAAGAATTTTCCTATGAATAATAATAATGTTATATATTTTCTCTTTATATATTATAAAGTTAAATTGTGATTTCTATTGGGATAAAGGGAGTGACCAAAGGAAAGACCTCACTGAGGTGACAGTAGAGGGCACTATTGAGACGGTTTTCAAGAAAACAGATCCAGATAAAAAGGGAAGTGCTATCTAGATTTAAGGATAGTGAAAAATGTGATGATAATGCTTTTACTTTTGAAACTTTTGTTTCAGTTTTCCTATTATTCCATAGCCTATAAAAATGAATAAAATGCGATGTTTATCCAGTCTAATCTTATTAATTATTTCTCTTTTTGCTTTAGCCTATGTTGTTTAATGTTTGATGCAAATAAACTCGTGCTAAATCTTTCTGTCCTGTTTGTTGTATTGTACTGTAATTTGACGTCATTGCCATTGTTTAATTGTTTGATGACATATCAAAATAAAACCGTCACAATACGAAAATATATGTTAATGCTAAATATATCTATAAGTAAGGGGTCTCTATTGTGTTATTCGCAGTGCTTTATGGGAGTGTTTTGCGGCGATTTCCAATTACATTTCTCAAGGTTATGAGCAGTGTTGGGGAAAGTTACTTTTAAAAGTAATGCATTACAATATTGCGTTACTCCATAAAAAAGTAACTAATTACGCTACTTAGTTACTTTTTATGGAACGTAATGCGTTACGTTACTTTTGCGTTACTTTTTAAAATCTGGACAGGGCTTGCTTGTTTGCTTTTAAAATAAAAAAGTTATATTTTTGGCAAATATAAAAGCCTTTTCACACCAAAAGTGAAATGAATAAGCCTCAGGCTGAAGGGAAAGTACATTTACATCCGTACAGTAGAATGCAGAAGAAGACATTTCAACACTTCAGCAATAAACAAAGACACAAATGTTTGTCTAGAGTAATTTGTGCTTATTATTACGGTTGAACTGCATCATCGAACCTCAGAAACAAAGACATTGGTTGATAGAATGGGATTAAATACATAAAGGATATTTGTGTTTTTTAACATACTAATATTCTGAGTTGCATTATTTTTATTCATTTTGAGGAATACTGAATCTGTGTGTGAGTGAGATGAATGAATGCATATTCGTATTTATTTTAGAACTACAGTAACATCTTCTGCTTTCTCTCAACATGGCGACACCAGAGCTGTCAATCAATAAATTGGAAAAAAAAAGTAACTTGCGTTACTTGTAATGCGTTACCCCCAACACTGATTATGAGTAGCTAATGAGTAGCTAATGTAGCTCCTCACCGGGAATTCACCAAAGTCGTTTTAGAGAAAAAAAATGAAGGTGAAATCACTTATATAGTTCTTTCTAAAACAAATATGTCATACCAAACATGTAAAACTAGCAGCAAGGCCCTCAATTTATTATATCACAATCTGTTTCCACTCAAAAGTCGTTTATTTAAAGCGTCTCCTGCGTTAACTTCCATCCAAATAGCCTCGGTCGCTTTTTAAGCGGAGTTTAATTAATATTCAGGAGCCAATTCGGCCGCCTTTCAACAAATCAAGTAGGTCGATTTGGCAAACGTCACGCAAGTCGCTTAATATTAATGAGTCAAGCCTTCTCCATAGTAGACACCCGGGTGGTACACTGACTGGCTGAGTGTGCTGTGAGGAGGGAGAGATGGATGCGACTCCGCTGTCTGCCGGCTGTGGTACTGAACATTTTCAGTATAACAATAGAGCAGGCATGTTTTGAATGGCAACGGTTTTACTGAGGAAAGCAGCACGTGAGATGATTGTTTAAATGTTTCGTGCATTTGTTTGAGTGATTCTGTTGATTTATGCAGTGAATGAGATGGAGGCCGGTGGAGATGAAGAGGGAGAGGCTCGGGAGGAGACCAAGGAGGTGAGAGAAGATGCATGCATGAAAGAATACATCTGTACTGCATTCACATCTAATTATTATAGCATTCTGTATTCATAAGCATAAATGAATCTCAGAGTAGTGAGAAAAGGGGAAATGGGAGATCAGGCTGTGGCTGTGTGAGTTAACCGGCTTTTTTATTCATTCGAGGGTTGACACCCTTTTCACGTGACAGTGTCTGAGCATCTTTTGTATGCCTCGTAAGAGTTTAAGCAGATCATGCAGATGAGGATCTTACATTATTATTGTTTTTTTTACCAGTTTATCTTGGCACACATTATTATATGTGGTTGCATGTTACACCTTTCAGTTCCTCCTCTTGTTGTTTCATGCATATTCATATTTCTGTTGTGGTTTCATTCATATTAATATTTCCAATTATTAGATTAAACTATACAAATCAACTGCATTAAACAAATTAATGGAAGGATAACCGTGACATTTTTTGTATAATGGCAGGGCAACACGTTTGCATATGTTTGCAATTTATAGAAAGGAGAAAGAATAATTGGTTTTGTTTGTTCCTCAGAGTACTGGCCTTTTCTGAAAGGTGCCTAGAGGTTCTCACGAGGATTGCATCACTGTTACTGTCACTGAGAAAACGTGAAAGTATCATTTCATTTCAGTTTTGGAAATAAGACAAGTGTATTCATTTAAGGCAGGGGTAGGCAAGTTCGGTCCTAGAGAGCCGCAGTCCCGCAGTCAGCTCCAACCCTAATCAGACACACCTGAACAAGCTAATCAATGTCTTCAGGATTACTAAGGCTATAGGCAGGTGAGTTTTGTTTTCAGGGTTGGAGCTGAACTCTGCAGGACTGCGGCTCTCTAGGACCGAACTTGCCTACCCCTGATTTAAGGCAAGAAGAAGATCCATAATTACAGATTGATAACCAGAATAAACTAGCAAGAACATACAGTATCTGCATACATACCCTCACATCTACAGTGTGGCTCAGTAGTCAGCGGTCACTATGTTTATTTGCAGGATGGATACTGTTATGAAATATTACTGTGTTAAATATAACGCTATGTGATTTTCAGTACATTTTTTTACACTTACAGTACACTTCAGTTCAAAAGTTTGTGGTCAAAAAGATATTTTTTTTTCATGTTTTTGAAGTCAATTATGCTTACAAAAGCTGCATTTATTTGATCAAAAATACAGTAAAAATTTTGAAATATTATTAAAATAACTATTTTCTATTTGAATACTTTTTATAATGTAATTTATTTCTTTAATGCAAAGCTGTATTTTCAGCATCATTACTCCAGTCTTTAGTGTCACATGATCCTTCAGAAATCATTCTAATATGCTGATTTGCAGCTCAAGAAACATTTCTTAATATTATCAATTTTGAAAACAGTTGTGCTGCTTTTTTTGTTTGTGGAAGATGTGATACATTTTAATTCAAGATTCTTTAATGAGTAGAAAGTCCAAAAGAACAGCATTTATTTAAAATAGGAATTTTGTGTAACATTATAAATGTCTTTACTGTCACTTTTGATCATGCATCCATGCTGAATGCATCGCATCGCATCGCATCGCTTTCACAACGAAACACACGGTGGGCTAGAGTGAGCAGAGGCCTAGAGTATGTGGAGGCCGGCTAGAGTGAGCGGAGACGGGCTTGAGAACGGCGCGGCCGGCGAATTTGACAGAGGAGCGGCCGGTGGGCTTGCGGCAACCCCATGTGACGACCCCGGGCTGGACTCCGCTTCGTCCACGGTGAAAGCCGATCCGGCGATCCACAGCGCGAAGTTGATGTATTTCCTCAGCGACCAGCACGGATCAGCTCTAGGCATGACGAAGCGGATATCGTCCTCTTTTGGAAGGCCAAACAAAGTAGTTTCACTTTCACAACGAAACAAACAGCGCCTTCACGACATGGCGGCGGCTACAACAATACTACAGCGAGAATAAAAGTTACGCCTTCTTTCTTTGCGTGAACATTTGGGCGGCGTTATGCAAATCTTCCCACATTGTGACGTAGACATGTTGGGGCGTGTTAGAACGAGCCGTTTTAGGAGGACATGAACAAGTCTTAACTTTTATAAAGAATATCTCTTTGGATTTGAGACTTTAGTCTCTGCAACTTTACAGATCTTCTTTATGCGCTCCAAAGAGAAAGGAAAATTTGAAATCTCATCAGATGACCCCTTTAATTTCCTTTAAAAAAAAAATCTTCAACTTTTTTGGAATTGTTTTAGCAACTGCTGTGCTCTCAAATTATTTAATTTGTCATTACTTATATATCATTTTCTCAATATGTCATCATCTGTTCTCTTTTTTAGTGCCAGAGACTCACTGCAGAGAGAGATGAGGCTGAAAGGCAACTCAAACACATTAAACGGGGTAAGATCAAAACTGTTGCTAAAGAATGTGAAGTCATCTGCTGTTTCTTATTTCTATTTGTCAGGCTTGTTTGTCATTCAAAAAGGTAAGAAAAATATTGCAATGTGCAACACAGAATAGATTCTGTTTATATGTGCGGTCTATAATCATTTGAATGTCATTAACGGTACTACAGCAAATTCATTTTCTGATCTTCTGCATAGACCAGAGGTCAACAATTAGCACCCCGCGGTCCAGTTCCCGGCTCAATCTGGACCACAATTCATTACTCATAAATTAAGACAATTCTAAACAGCATTTTTTTCATAGCAACCCACTTAACCATAGCAAGCTCTTTTGGTGCGTAAAAGTCAAGTCAGAAAGATTGCATTAACTTCACCACAAAGCCAAAATTACAAGTGGGAAACTCTGAAGTTTCTTTAAGCCCAGAGTTTACATGGCAGATGCAATGGATGCCCAATCTGTATTGATAATGCATTCGTGGAAAATCTAAGTTGCATCTACAAAATACAATAGTATTATACAATTACGAGAGAATATAACGATTCAATTTACAGCACCTTTATAAATTGGATAAAAACATAAAAAACAAAAACACACTAGTTCACATTCTTTAGTCATCTTTTTGTAGAAAAAATCTTGCTGAATTGCTCTGACCAAGTGATTTGAATATGCCTGACATTGTAATTACAACTTCCCAACTCATAAATACAAATTTTCCAGGAGGACTTGAATGCACCTACCAAGCCAGCCCAAAAGTCTTACATTACATTACACTTTCACCACATAATTCAAAAAAGTTTGCTCAATTAATGTATTATTTATTATTTGTGATTATGCTGGTGTCCAACAAATCTGACCTCAATGAACTCCATATATCACCTTTTCACTCAGAGTAGGAGGTGAAGATGATCTCACTTGGCTCTTCCCACTAACTTGACGCTCAGCGTTGTCTTATCTCAACTCCGATCCCCGCGCCCTCACCCATATCATCATGACATTACCTGGGGGCTCTTCTGAATGATCCATTATTGTAGGTGTTAGCGGTTATTCAAGTCTCCATGGCTACTAGGAGCCAACCGCGGAGATGCGACCTTACCTGCTTCCATTGCATTTTGTGACATGTAAGGAAACCCAGCCTCAGCTACTAACTAATTTGTTAGCACTCTGACAACACTCTAGCGGCTGCCAGCTTTAGGAACAGAATCTGGAAATTGTTCTCAGGTGAGAAAAAGCTAATTCTTCTCTGCAAGCTTAAAAATAGGGTTTCATTTAACAGGGTTTTTAAATGTTTGTACTCATGTTTATGTAGTGAATATGTGAGGCATTGTGGAGTATTGCTAATGTTTTTGAATGGATATTCAACTCTATGTGCCTAGTTAAATATGTAGAGAATACTAAAAAAAGCATATTTTTAATTATTTTGGATAGCATGGATGTACAGTTCTTAATAATATTATGTATTTGATACTTCTCAGAGGAATAGTTGTCAATATTTATATTTACACACACACACATATATATATATATATATAATTAGCATCCTATATACATACAATTGTAGATATTGTCTTTATACACTTTATTAATGTGTGTTGATTTCAGGATATAATTGTGCCTGGAAACCCGTTTGGTAAATTAGTTGGATATTTTGAATATTAGTTCACAATATTATTAAGCAAAAGTAGATATTGTGATGAATCCAGTTTTATTTTCGACTGTTCTGCTTTTTGGATATGCTTGCTGCCCTTTTTATTGTTGTCCTGGAATTGTCAGATATTCCCTAGGGAGGCAACATAGACCAGTCTCGTTGTATCACTAAATTATTAAAAATCACCAATTATGAATTATTTATCAGTAGAAAATGAATAGGCACCCGCTTTTCAACCTTCCATTGTAGTTCATGCCGAACCCCTCATGCACTCTCTTATCATTTCTGAAATGCAAGTCACCCTGAATATGATTTAGTGAAAATATATTCAGTATGAATGACTCGAAAAGCAAAATGCATGACATTTTCACAATTACCTTGTGAGTTACGGTCAATTTTTGTACCACCCTGGTACATTTTTTCATGCAATGAAATGGCAGTGCATTTATTTTATAACCTCAACTAATGGCACAAATTCTTGCTGTGGCTAACATGACACAGCAAATGTCACAGTAGTTTGGCCTAGTTGCTGTCATACAGGACAATAGTCTTGTGCTGGGTGCATGTGATTGGTCTGTGTTCTGTTTAATGATTGGCAGCTGCAGGGGAACTGCTGTCGAGTATCTGGGAGGTTCTGGATCTGCGTCTGGGAAAGCAGCTGTCTCGCACCTCCTCTTTGGAACGCCTGAGCAAGCTTCATTAAGAATACCCTCTGCACTTATGCAAATTAAAACAAAGACCGTGTGTTAAGCTATCAGCCCCATTACTCAGCTTATTTACCTTTACGCTTTACATCTCACGGTTTGTGTGTGAAAGGAGCTAAATCTTAATATTTACATAAAAATGAATGCTGCTTGCATTTTAATGTAGTCTACACATCCTGTCCTGGGGTTGGAGTAGATTACGGGTTACAAGCGCAGGCACAATTAGTGCTGGAGTTGCAACCAAAATTGCTTGGTGATTAAACCTTAACTGTTGAGATTTATTAAAAGAGTTTAATCGCTGTGATCAAAATTGGGACGGAAGTGCTTTAGACTAATGCCAGCCTAACGTTGTGTTAAAGTGGCAGACAAATGCTTGTTTGAAGCAGTCTGGAAAGGATGCTGCTGCATTTCTTTAAGCTTTCGCCTCTGTTCGACCGACTCCGCCGAGCCTTATTTTGCTCATGCAGCATTAAGCGTGCTGGACTTGCTGACCTAGAATCTGCTCACAGAAGAAAGCCCAGCAGCAGTGCTCTCTCGGTCAGTTATTAGAAGCCAAATGAGTTGAGCAGATGAGTTTGGACTGATCTGCAAGGGAAAGACAGAGCTCCACGCCTGTTATTGTGCTGCTTTATTTTTAGGGGCGGCACGTGCAAACTCGCACACCCTGAATCATTGGCAGATGCAGAATCAGCGAATGACCCAGATGGGCTTAGATTGAGGTTGTTTTGCTTTTGTTGTAGGCAAAGACCAGATATTTATACAGTATTTTAATATCATACAGTAATTTCAAGCAGTTTCAGCAGTGTTCAGTGATGTGCTTTTGGTTTAAAACAAAGTACTATACATTTGTTTTTAGGGGGGTAACAATACACTGATGTCATGTATCAGTTCAATACAAGTTAGTGATCTCACAATACTTCAAACAAAGCCAAAATAGTGTTTTTTTATGATTACTTTTAAGACCTGTGATAAAGATTAAAATGATTTGGTATTACCTCAGAAATCAGTGCTTAGTCCTTTTCAGTGGTATTAAATATAAATATGTATCTGTTCAGCTAAAAATACAGAATTATGTTACACATATACATAGTTCAAAAGAGTTTAAAATACTGTATTTTATTAAATAATGCGTTTTACTTTTAGTTTATTCATATTCAATTAATAAACAGAAAGCTCAAATGTGTGATATTCTGGGCTTACCATATTTGATGCCAAATTAAATCTGTCAACAAAGATTAATAAATACAAGATTATAACAAATGTATTGCTCATTGTTAGTTAATGCATTAAATATAGTTAACAAATGGAACCCTATGATAAAGTGTAACCGAAAACTTAATGATTTTATCAATTTATTTCTGTTTGTTGACATCCTTCAACTTGTCATATATTTTAACTAAAAAGCAATATAAGCATGAAAAATAAATTCATTTGATTCAATCTGAATCTTTCAAAACATTTTTTTTATATGCCTCATTGTAAAAAACAACCAAATAAAAATAATATAAAATGGCAGCATGGTAGCAACATTTTAAGTTATACAGAATTACATTTACAGTAAAAAACATATTTAATTAACAGATGTTAATATAACAAATTCAGTTTTTTTTACCCGTTTTAAAAATAGTTATTTCAATGAAAACCCATCAAATATGAGCTGTCACAGAGAATTCTGGGAATGTCAATTTATGTGTTTCTCACTCTAAATTATATTACTGTACTTTTCTTTTTTATATTTTATATACTTTTTATATCTATATCTATTTTTTATATTTTGCTTGTATACTTACATGAAATGTCCCATTAGATCTGTTTTTTTCTCTGTATGAAATAAGGTAATTTACTGTTAACCAATTAACAGGTTTTTATTGTATTATTTTTTACAGTCTTTTACTTTTAAAACAATGCCAAACTTCAAAAATGGTCAAACTTCAAATGTCACTAATTTATGATGTTAATAATTTTGTTTTGACCACTTTTAGTTGAATTGTGAGAACAGGAAGCTGAAGTATTTGAGCCTGTCCTCGCGACCGTGTCTGGACGAGCTGCTGCCTAGTATTTCAGACTGCATTTCCCAAGAAGAAGAGACTGACACGCGAGAACCTGGCTCTGATCCTTTTTCACATTATAAGCAGCAGGTCAAAGGTAAATACCATAGTGTATCTCAAACAAATGGAGTGCAGTTTGACAAACTATAAACAGGCCTGTGCACAATTTCCTTTGCCAAGTAATCAGTCATCATATTATATCAAGGGTACGTCCATTGCAAATTCAGATTTTTCCACAGATCTCCAAGAAACCGTGAGTTCTTTGCTGGAGGAGAAAAAGCAGTTGACTTGTCAGCTTCAAAATCAGCAGAGGCAGATTGAGGAATTGACAGCACTTGTGAGTAGCAAAGCGACTTTTGAACTTTTTATCAAATCAAGCTCAGTCGGGCTTGATGGCAGTGAATGGGGGCTTGGAATGCAAAGTGTCTTGCAATATTTTAACCTGTTCATGAATCATAAATGAGCTTGAAATCAAGCCTTGCGCTACTGCTGATACTAAAAGGATATCGGAGTAACAATGTCTAATTGAGTTTCTTAGCTGAAACATGTGTCTCATGTTAATTTACAGACTGAAAAGGAGCAGGCCGAGATGAAGGAGCTTTATAAAACCATTGAGCAGCAAAGCAAGACCATTAAAAGGTTCAACAGGGGTGAGTATGGACGTTATGAACACAGAGCCGCTTCATTTCCTCGCTTGTATTCAAAGGCATGAGCTTGACATCATCTCAAATGGCCTGCAGTGCATCTGTGCATGTGCCTTCCAAGAAGATTAATGTTCCCCACCAGCCCACTCACTACCGGCTGAGTCCCCGATCAAATTATCTGTAAAAGATTCACCACAGGAAGTCCCTCTTCTCCAGCTGGGGGTGATGCACTTTGTTTTGTCGTCCTCCCAGCTTCCTCTTTGCTCATTTGTATTATTACTCTGACTGGAGTGTTGGAAACTGCATTGCTCAAATGCTGCACTGGCTTATGCTGAACTTATTCTGAACGTATACATGTATACATGTATATTTTATATGCAAGGAATGTCATGGCAGTAGAGACAATACAACCAATTTCTATTATGAGCTGGCTCTTTTGAATGAAAATGTCTAAAAGACTAAAAAATTTGAACCATTCAAAAGTTTGGGGTCGGTAATATTTTTATTTTTTATTTTTTTTGGAGAGAAGTCTTTTATGCTCACCATGGCTAGATGTATTTAATAAAAAATGCAGTAAGTTCATTTTAAATAGCTGTTTTTTATTTTTTTTTCTTAATATATTTTCAAGCGTAATTTATTCCTGTGATCAAAGCTGAATTTTCAGTGTCACATGATCCTTCAGAAATCATTCTAATATGCTGATTTGCTGCTTAAGAAATATTTCCTATTATTATCAATGTTAAAAACAGCTGTGAGGCTTACTATTTTTGTGAAAATATGATACATTTTTTCAGGATTCTTTGATGAATAGGAAGTTCAAAAGAACAGCATTTATTTGAAAGAGAAAACTTGTAACATTATAAATATTTTTACTGTCACTATTTTGACCAATTTAATGCATCCTTGCTAAATAAAAGTATTTATTTATTTTTTAAAGTATTTATTTATTTCTTCAGTAGTGTATTTTTCCATAAAGCATTACTTTTTATTTTGTATAATTGTTAAGTATATAGTTAGATCCAATTATTCTTCGCTTAGTAAAAGAATCATTAATGTAAAAGTGGAATCAGTAAATTACCATCCATGCTGCCCCATGAATAATCTATGCCTGTAATACTTTCTTTTATAATACTTTTTTGTATTATAACCCAAAAAGTCTAGAGATTGACCAGGTCTATTGCTTTAGTAGAATGAATCAGGTGTCATTGTTTATCTCTTCAGTGTCAATGATGGCCACTCATGAGTATGAAAACATGAAGGAGCAGCTGGATTTGGAGCAGAGCCTCAGGCAGAAAGCAGAGACCTATGCACACGAGGTACTGGATAAAACACGTCTGTATTCACTGTATCAATACACGGGTGACAGGCCAACTTCAGTCCCCGCTCTGACAAACTGTGACCTGGTGACCACAAAATCCAACCAAAAGACAAGATAAATGTATTTATTGACTGATGAGCATGAATTGTCCACGATTGCTTGCATCACAGTAGAATGTTAATAGCTGAAGAAGCAAAATCATCTGAAATTGGAAGTCGTTTCCTAATGTTCATTTTCTCCTGTAGATGATGGTGAAGCAGAAAGAAGCAAACAGACAGAGCATGATTCTGCTGCAGCAGGGAGATCCCAGCATTCAGCTGATCAAAGCTTTAGAAGATGTGGCCAGTGTGACTAAAACATTAGAAGAAGAGAGAATACAGCACCAAGAGAAGGTAGGTGAAACTTCTGGAGTATAGCTTTTCAGTTTTATTAGCTAATTTCAGAAAAAAATTGTGAAAGTTCATCCATATTTGCATGAACACAATAAGCCTACTCATGGATTGCATGATAGGATTAGACCAGTGTTTGCCAACCGGGGTGCCGTGTAAAAATCCTTTTTTAATATTTTTAAATTGCTAAAATGTTCAAAAAAGCATCTATTATATAATATCCATTTCTGATGTCGCCAATATTTAGAAATGCACCGAAATTTCGGCTGCTGAAAATTAGTTCACCGCTCAGGTTTCACTTTCACGTGGTGTGACGCTCTGCGTGTTATCCGCTCTATGTGTGTGCGCTCCGCTCAGTCGCTCCACTCGTATACCGTTCATGCGAATCGGAACAGCAAAATCCACTCAAAAATTGAGCCGACAGGAAACATGGATGTAGTACAGTATTGTTTCTGTCTCCAATAGCCCTACTGTGTTGTAACATGGTGTGGTATATGGGCAGCTCTGGTAACGCTGCCCTCTCATTCATTGATCTGCTAACCGCTATGTTATGCTCACGTGTTCTGATAATAATAGCTTTCTAGGACTAAACATTATTTGGATAATTGATAAAAAAAAAAAAAAAGTTAAATATCTTACCCCTACTGCTAGACCTACCTGAAAAACTAAAAAGCAATTTATTAAATACGAAGGCCTGTCGTTATTTTTTATTTGTGCTATCATTATTAATTTCTTTATTTGTTCTTATTTTATTACTGACTGCTTACTTGTCATTTTTTATTCAATTCAAAGTTTGAAATCATGCTATCTCGTGCTACTGCAACAAAATTACCCAGCTGTAAAATAAAAAAACACTGAGTGAGCAAAAATTTGAGATAGCTAGTTATAATGCTAATTAAATAATGTTTACATATGTATAAAAGCCTACATTCAAATCTGTCATATAAATTGGTCTCTTCATTAGGAATTAGCCTACTGATTGCCACCATTGATGGACAAAA